TCATATTGACCCATCTTTTCCCCATTGTCTGCTACCCAATATGTAGTATATATAGGTTTATGTTGTTGTTGTTCATTCGTTCAGTCGTCTCCGACTCTTCGTGACCTCATGGACCAGCCCACGCCAGAGCTCCCTATCGGCCGTTACCACCCCCAGCTCCCTCAAGGTCAGTCCAGTCACTTCAAGGATGCCATCCATCCATCTTGCCCTTGGTCGGCCCCTCTTCCTTTTGCCTTCCACTTTCCCCAGCATAATTGTCTTCTCTAGGCTTATGTCTTCTCTAGGCTTATATAGGTTTATGCATGTGCTTAAAATCATCTGTTAACTTATGGTGCCACCATGAATTTCATAGAGTTTTCTTAGGCAAGAGATACCCAGGGGTTGTTTACCAGTGTCTTCCTCTAAAATATTACATGATGATGATAGCTACTTTATTTTTGTATCCCGCCACCATCTCCCTGAAGGGATTCAGGGTGTCTCACATGGGGACCAAGCCCATCAAATAGAGTTAAAATATAACACAATAAAAATACATGTACAAAACATCATAAAAACATAAACCATCATACAACAATCAGTAGCTGAGCATGGTGGACATTTCAGAACTAAGAGGTGAGGCAAGGGCTTGTGCAATACAACTACAAGGACAGGGCTAATAGAAAAGTGCAAGAACCTGATGACAAGTTAGGGCCAGAGGGCCAAGTCAATTAGTGCAATACAACTACAGGGGCAAGGTCAATAGTAAAGTACAAGAGCCAGATATTACGTTATGGCTAGAAGTACCAATTCATCTCGTGAACCAATGAATCAAAGGCACATCCACATTTTTAGGTCCTGGTATTCGTTTGCAGTCTCCAATTCAAGTACTGACCAGAGCTGAGCGTGCTTAATTTTCAAGGTCTGATGGATTTCTATGAGGTCTTTGCCCAGCGGGAAATAAACATTGTTTCCTCAAAATTTCTACCACTAATATAGAAAAAAGTATTCTAGAGTGTGAGAAATTTGACGATGAAAGAAATTTTCATGGAAAGGCAGAATTTTTACTTTGGGGGGGGGGGATGCCTTCAATTTATGTTTCCATTCACCCCTCCATATCAGAAATACCTCCCTACAACTAATTTTTTTCTCTTAATAGAGACTCGGAAAACTAAAGCCTGGGCATTTTGGTTGAAAAATATGTTTGTTACCACTGAATTGTATTCCCTGAGAGGGAGGTCCAATCATATTTCAAACATTAGAACTAATCCTTGATATTGATATATCAGTTATGTTGTATTTAAGTTGGGAAAACTAAGGCACCCTGGAAGAAGTCCATGGGTAAATGAAACAATTTCTATTCAAAGAAAATGTATATTTGAAATAGAAAAGCACTCAAGGCTGTTGGTTCTTTGAATATTCATTTTTATTCATTTTTGTTTTTAAGTTACATTTTTATTTTTATTTCACTGCTAGGTAACTGGATTGCTAGAAGAGCAATGTATAAATTAATTACCCTCAGGTTGATGCTGAAGAAAGATTGATTGACTTATTGATTCAAAATAAATCAAATAACAGAGTAAGATATAAGGTTGAAAAAATTACTTACTAAAATCTCTGTGCTTTGCAGCCATCAAATAAAAATCAAATAACCTACGTATTAATTGCCTCAGCAGCTGAAGGTCTTCCAGAATCGATCGCTTCTACAATCTCTTCAAAGACCATATGAGAAGAACAGTTTCTATCAGTGCTGTCTTTATGCATGGGCATGCTGGACAGTTGCATGAGGGCCCCATCGACATAGAACATAGATTAGCACAATATCCAATCTATGCACAGACCAGATTTTAGCATTAATTTTCTGATCAACTACCTCAACATTCAAACCTCCTTCCAACTCAGTTGAAGGAGAAAAATTATGACTTGTAGCAGACAGCTGATATGTCTGCATTTGCAAGAGACATTTTGCCATTTTTGTTGCTTGCAATGTTATGAAAGTAGAATATTGTAACAGATTCACAGGAGGAAATTAATGGCTAGGGACAATGATAGCTGACCATGTGCCTTTCCAGCCTCTGCTGTTTGTGATCCAAGAATTCTATTTGTGTGGTGAAGGGTTAGAGAAAATGTAGGAAAGTGAAGTGAGGAAAAAGAAGCTGTGCTTTTTATGCCTGGAAGAGAAATACAGTGAGCCCTTGGTATCCTCTGTGGCTGAGTTCCAAGACTCTCAGTGGATACAAAATCTATGAATGTGTAACTCCCATTATATACAAGGCATAGGTAAAATGGTATCACTCATAAAATGACAAAAGTAAAGTTCACTTTTTGATTTTTTTAAAAAAAACCATGGATGGTGGAATTTGTGGGTGTAAAATCTGTAGATATGGAAAGCTAGCTATATACACACTGGTAAAGATGACAGCTACTTTGCAGTTTCTGATCAAGAATTAAGTCTTTTTTTGTGTGTGTGGAACCAAAGTGGGCAAGTCTAACTTTTTTCATCTTTTTCTTCTTCTGACACCTTCCACTCTCTCACTCTCTCTAGCAAAAATGGTTGGTGGTCAATAGGGCAATGCATCTACTTCCGCTTTTACTCCATGCTTTAAGGATCCAGTCTTTGCTCAAGTCTTTCCACATATTAGGTTCAGCACTTTGAACAGCTTTTTAAAACTCAGACTTAAACCTAGTGCAGATTCCATGACCTTACCAACATTAAAACCCAGCAGTAGCCACCAGGCTACATGAAATTAGGGCAATTGGGCTAACAACTACAAAGCATCTTATGAGCTTATGTTGGAAGACAGTGGATTTTAAAATATATTTTTTATCCTTTGTCTACTGACTCTGGAAGGCTTACAATGAATAAATACAAATAAAATGTACAATGCTGCTTTTTATTACTATTTAGCTCTACTATAAATCTGTAATAAAAACATGAAAAATGAGAAAGTGACAAAGGAAAAGTAAGTTTCATTATATACAAATTCAACAGCTGCTACATATTTTATCAAGAAAAAAGCACTTGCTTTTTAAAATCTTTTCTATTCTGAGATGGTTGCAACAGCGTAAGCTTGTAAACATTCTTCCTGTAAACAGGAAATCAGCTATATTAAAGTTAGATGGTATTCTAGCTAGAGAAAATGAGATTATTTCATAACAAAAAGGAGAGGAAATGCTACATGATCCATTTTATATGAACATAAAAAGCAATATATAAAATACAAGAATAAATGAAATGCCAAAGTTATTACTGAAATAAGTGGACTATGGCATGTTACAATATATGTACTTGGGGCTAAGTCTAGTTTTTAGAATACATACATTGAATAAGCTGCTGAATAAAAAAGACAAACATATGCAGATCCCATTGATTCAAGGCTCTGTTCTATTTGGAGCCAATTATGGCCAGCTGTTAGATTTAGACCCAACACTTATGTAGATAGCTCTCCAAGGGAGCCAGTTGTAATGGGAAGTTTTTTCTGGTAGACAAGCAATTGAGGTAGTTTTTCTAAGATATATCAGTGCATGAATGAATAGTAGACATAAATATTTCACTGTCTAGACCAAATCTGGTTTAAAAAATAAATAACCAAGTAGGAAAAACAAGAACTTTGGATTTTACTCAGCAGCTAGCACAATCAGCAGTCACATAGGTTATCTGCTCAGAATCTTCTCCACTATAGTGTAATGTTTCTATTGAAATGACTCTTTCTTAGCTCAGCTTGGAAATACTCTAATATTCTCTGGTGGCCTTTCAACCAAGCACTAAACAAGTCTGACCCTTACATCCCAAAATTAGATAAAGTTGGAGTATGACATTTACTACTCCCCTCATATCCATGGGGAATACATTCTCACTTACCAAGGCTAGCAAAAACTATGAATAATAGCAAATGCTACCGAACAATGTTTTGTAGCAGAAATACCACAGAGTCATGCTGGAGTGCCTATGAAATGCATAGGGAGTATCTATTTTGTCAGATGAGAGTAAATGAAACCACTGATACCTGTCCCACAGATACGGGGGTGGGGGAGGTCATATTGTACATGAATTACAACACTGCTTAAGATCCGAAAATATGACTACTGCTATTGATTTGTTGCCCTCAGTTGCTCACAAAATTCTGCCAAGAATGATAAAGGGCAGAAGTCTTTTGTAATTAAAGATAAAGACATCAGATTTTCCTCTTTCAGCTCATTCTGAACATTGTTTCCTTTACTCTTTGCCTTCAATTCAAGGACATCTTATGTTAGACATTTATTTATTACTCTCTGATAGTACAGAGTTAAAGCAAAGTATTCAGAATGAACACAATTCTATTAAGTAGGATTGACACTCTGTTCTGAGGGAATGCTTTAGCAGGAGTAGGAATACATAGCCATACACTATATGTTAAGTTCACTAACATATCCATAAAGTATTTAACCCCAATATTAGTTCAGCCTACTATTTCCATAACTTTTTACCATCAGTGAAACTGATTAGAACTTCTGGAAATGTGTAATACAAAACAGCTAGAGATCCAATGTGACATCATTTCGATTACTGAACCTCTTTCCTAATTTAGTAGTATCAAACTATTTCTTACTCAATATCTGAAATACCTTCTTTTTTCTTGTTTTTGATGTGTCCTTACCATTTGCTATTCTGGCAATGGTTGATGAGAACTGCAGTCCAACAAGATCTGAAGGGACAGGTATTCTCCATGTGGCTCTAAAAAAAAACACCCTGGAGAATATCTGGCCCTTCGAATCTTGTTGGACTGCAGTTCCCATCAACCATTGCCAGAATAGCCAATGGTAAGGAGTTCTGGAAATGGTAGTATAACAACATCTGGAAGTCTTTTTTTATCTTTATCAAACTGCAGATATTTTCATTGTGCAGAAAACCCCTCCTATCTCTGTTTCTGTATTAGGGAACAACAATATGCATAACACAATGTACACCCTGCTTCCCATTTTTCATATGAATGGCTCTAGCAAGGATTCTGTTGATCTTTGTTTATGGTTTTGTTCCTTCTTAGATACACCAAAATGAAGACAGCCACCAACATCTATATTTTCAACCTTGCCCTGGCAGATGCCTTAGCGACAAGCACACTGCCATTCCAAAGTGTGAATTACCTCTTGGGAACATGGCCATTTGGTACCACTATTTGTAAGATTGTTATATCTATAGATTACTATAACATGTTCACAAGCATTTTCACCCTCTGCACAATGAGCGTGGATCGCTACATAGCCGTTTGCCACCCAGTCAAGGCTCTGGATTTCCGGACCCCCAAAAATGCCAAAATTGTCAATGTCTGCAACTGGATTGTTTCTTCAGCCATTGGCATTCCAGTTATGGTGATGGCAACTACAAAAGAGAGCCAAGGTGAGTAAAAAAGAAGAGAGGGTGGGGAATACTCTCTATCATCAAAGATCCATTTAATAAAGATAATTGTATCTAGAATTTGCAGATCAAGATTATTGCATCAACACTTTGTGAGGATCAGGTCATGTAAAACAATCCCTTAAAAGAAGCTTACAAAACTAAGGAGGTCAATGTTCCATGACAGAACAAACCAGATTGCATGTGTTTTGTAATCTTCCTTTTACTTCAGCCAGAATGTGATCTCAGAGAGAGGATGTTTACGGCTCCAGGTGCAAGTGTAGCCATGTCTATATCTACTAATCTATGATGCAAGTTTTTTTTGGTTTAGGTTTCAAACTGAAACCATGTAATTTGGGAGTAAACACATTGAATTCAGTGTTCCACTGTTTTAGCATGGTGAGATGCATTCCAGCAGCGTACTCAGCAGCAGAGCAGCAAAACACAAGGGCAAATGTCTTCACTGTATCTGGTACCCAGGTTGTGCCGGTCAGTATATTGTTTCTAGCACCTACTTTTTGCTTGATATTTAAGCAGTGCTTCTTGTAAGTCAGAGCATGATCCAGGGTAACTCCCAGGTATTTGGGTGTGCTGCAATGCTCCAGTTTATGGTTGCATATATGAGACAGGATGGTGTGTGATAGTGGGTATGTGTGTACATCACACAGTCCTAGACACTTGGGAAGTGTCCGACGTTGATTCAATTCAGCAGCCAGCAGAGTGTCTGCTGTGCACTCATCTTGTTGTGTTTCAAATAATAATAATAATACTTTATTTGTATTCCGCCCCAAAGGAGAGACAGAAAGAGAGAGAGGGAGAATGGAAGGAAGAGAGGAGGGAGACATGATCAAGTGTGAGAGAGAGACAGAAAGAGAAAAAGGTGATTTCGGGTTGTATAATGGGACAATCCAACCAAATATAGAATGTTGTTTGGACTGTAAATGTTAGAAAAGAGAGTTGGTATTTCACTAGGAGTTCAAAGCACAGCATCTATGACTGGATTCTCATAAATATTTTCAACTGACTTCTGCTTCTAAAGAAGTGTTTCCCAAGATGGTGCCCACAGATTGTGAGCTATTATGGATAGTGGTGATGGAAGTTGTTCAGTTCATCTGGAGGGCAACAGGTTTTGAAAGCCTACTCTAAATAAACATTGTCCATATAATTTTGGAATGGTTATGGCTGGCATATCCCAATGTTTTCTCTTCACAATCGTATCTGTCTGCCTTCATCTTGCATAAACTACACATATTATTTCATTCCCTAGATATATCCCATTATCAACAAACTAAATGTGAGTGTGCTTCAATTTTATTTATTTTTTTTACAGAACAAGTATGGACAATTTAGGAAGGCACTTAATAACATCTACTATATATTTTCATGTTATGGATTTGGTGCTGAAGTAGGGGGGAAGAAAGATTGGAATAAAATCAACAGTTTGCTAAAACGCACTCCTTTTTCTTCTTTTTATAGGCTCGATTGATTGCACACTTACATTCTCTCATCCAGCATGGTATTGGGAGAACCTTCTGAAAATCTGTGTTTTCCTCTTTGCCTTCATCATGCCTGTCTTAATCATTACCGTGTGCTATGGACTCATGATTTTACGCCTGAAGAGTGTTCGAATGCTCTCTGGCTCCAAGGAAAAGGACAGGAATCTCCGACGAATCACCAGGATGGTCCTTGTGGTAGTGGCAGTCTTCATCGTCTGCTGGACTCCCATCCATATTTATGTGATAATTAAAGCCCTGGTCCATATTCCTGAAACTACTTTCCAGACAGTCTCCTGGCATGTCTGCATTGCTTTGGGGTACACAAATAGCTGCCTTAATCCTGTCCTTTACGCATTTCTAGATGAGAACTTCAAAAGGTGTTTCAGAGAATTCTGCATCCCAACAGCTTCAACCATTGAGCAGCAAAACTCCACTCGTGTTCGACAAAACACACGTGACCATGCTTCCACTGCCAATACAGTGGATAGAACTAACCAGCAGGTATGACTAGCAGTGGAGATGTTATCTCTGGATTCAGAAAATCCCCCTGGAGATGACATGAATTCTGAAATTACATCCTTTACTGAAGTGTAGTCTTTGGCAGTTTTATAGTGCCTGTTTGATTTTCCTTCCCTAGTTGAACTGATACACATTAATGGAAAAACTAATTCATTTGAGCCAAACCTAAATTGATTCCAGGAAGCTAGAAGGTTCCCCAATGGACTGGGCCCTGTCTGTAAATCAATGTGTTATTTATCTTATAGATAGGAAAGGACATACTTTTATGGTGTTTTTTCTGCAGAAAGTATGCTATTCCTCAATCTTGTGGAAATTATATATTCAGAGTTGCTTGCACTAAATCAAAGTACTAGTGCAATTAACTACAAACTGAGAGTCCTAGTGACAACAGGCCTCATAGCAAGATCAGCCAGTCAATTGACAGCCATTCTCTTGATTTAATTATATTTTGGAAAGGAATGTGTATAGTCAAAATGTGTATTTAAGACAACTCTTCTCAGATTAAGGGGCCTTTGGCTCATTCTAATATACAGGGCCCTGATCATCTAGCCCAAACCCTATCTTGACAGTTCCACTGTCTAACAAGATGCGCTTTTATAAATGTTTTATAAACCTGTGGACAAAAGTACATAATCATGACCCTTCCTCCATGAACACACTTTGATTACCTGTTTTTCCATGCATGTCTTTATGAGCAGGTACACAGAGTGACTAGACAGTACTTTCACCAGAAAGAATCAGCAGACCTACATGAATTAAAGCACAATAGGGAGATTTTTGTGCACATGTTTATGTGGGCTAAATTCAGAAAAAGTGCATGGCTCATTTCTCCTTTTCATATGAATATCCTCAACAATCAATTAAGTCCATGTGATTAAGAAAAGCTGTTGACAGAATTGTGATCTCAATTATATAGTTGTGTCCCTTTCACTTTAAGTAGTAATTTGATATAATTAATTTGCCCCACACATGATACACATAAACATAAACTCACATGCACTTTCAGATTTTTTCCTTTATACCAGTAGAGAAAAACAATGGCTCTGCACATGTATTGGACTACAACTCTGACAATTTCCTATCATGTCTGTCTGGGTCTGATGGGTATTTTCGGTCAAAATATTTGGAGCATCAATGGGTCTTCTCCACTGCTCTCCATCTACTGGCACAGTCTTTCTCATTCCTTTATATATATATATATTACTCTACACATGGTGACCTCTTGTCCTAAGAACAATTTCTCCTCTTTTTGATCTGTCACAGGGCCCTTCCACATAGTCATATAACCCAGAATATCAAGGCAGATGATCCAAAATGTCTACTTTGAATTGGATTATCTGGGTCCACACTGCCATATAATCCTGTTCAATGTAGATTTTATACAGCTGCGTGGAAGGGGCCACAGAAAGTAGTGGTGGGAATAAAGCAATGGTAGTAGAGAAAGCACAACTTTAGATATAATGGCAGCTGAACCAACAGTTGATACCAATGCTATGGACAGGGAGAGAGAGCATGGAAATACATGAACCTATTTTGCAATCAAGATTCAGATCTGGGGATCATTTCTTTCTGGTTTAGTTTAGTTCAAAATTTACCTGAGGAAGAATTGGTACTTGTACTTTTGGGGGAGGGTCAATTCTTGATACTTAGGTTTCGTATTGAGTTGATGACTGAAGTCTGAGCTGAACTAGATAGCTTTGGGCTGGCGCTAATTCCTTCTTACGAAGCTACTAGAATGATAGCTTTGTTAAGCTGTAGCTTAGTGGGAATTCAGTCTGTGGGGAAAAGAGTGGATAAAAAATTAATCTTTTAGGTTTCATTTCTTTAACAGTGCCAAGCATGGCTGAGAAATGGGAGTTTGAGTAACTAATTATCTATATTCTAATCCCAAGGCACATTCTACAAAGCTTTCTCTAGGCACTGTTTTAGGATTGGGATCATGAAACAGCCATTCTGTTTACACCTCAATTTAAAAAGCCTTTCAGACATCACAACTCCCTGGTCCCTATGGCTATGTTTCTGAAGCTTTAAAGAGATACCCATACTCATACGGTACACGTGAAGTAGTATCAACCTCTTTCCCCATGCACCAGTTTTTGAGGCAGTACACACCCTAATCAATACATTCTGAGTAGCTTAGTCCACAATAAATAGCAAGCACACAATGGACAGAGTTTTGTTGTTGTTTTCTCAAGAAAGAATGATAAGTTTTGATATTTTTCAAATGTAACTGAGTGGGGAAAATACTTGAGAGAAAAAGAATAAGCAAAACTATGTCTTAAGTGAAGTACCAAAAGACCTAAACCAAGTAATATTTGCAGAGTAGTGATACACCATATTTTTTCCATTTTCCATGCTCAACCTGCAACTGAAGATTCTTCCATACATAAATAAGAAGTTAGTACTCCTAATGGCAACTAGTAGCTGTACCTTCATTTAATAATTATAATGATGTTACAATTTAATAGGCTTACCCTGATCAGTTCCTTCATGTTTAAATAGTTTTGGCCCAGTAAACATAAAGACTGTTTTGTTCGTAATTTGCAGGTTAAATAGCAGCAATCCTAATATATTGCCCTGATCCCTTTCTGTAGCAATTCTAACCTGGTTTGTTTTCTAATTCATCATGCATTTTTCCATTCAACATTATGACCAAAATCCTTTTTGGTGTCTTAAATGTATATAAGTTCCCTGCATGCTTTGAGCAGTTGAATAATTTGTCTTATGTGGAAAGTCCACATTTAATTTAATGTTAGAGAAGCATAATGAAGTGCAATTATGCATACAGATGTGTGTTACACATGGACACATCTTATACACTGCACATATATGAACTACGTGTGCATGTATGCACGTGCATTCAGTTGCACATTTTGGTGTCATGGTTCAGGCCCGCAATATTGCAATTCAACAGAAATGCAGAATGGCACAAATAATATGTAGAGACTTATGCTTTACAACCCTGATGTAGGATCCTGGCCAATATTTCCATCAAGTTAAATAAACAAGGACAGTTGTTATACAATACACTGGAAAAAGATACATACACATGAAACTGATTGCTTCGTTTGGAAGCCAATATCCTGTTCAACTTAATTATACTGAAAAGTGCAAACATACTTCATCTTTTGTCTGTGTTTGAGCTAAAATGATAAATTAGAAAGGCAAAATTGTCATAACATTTTTGTATTTTGTATAGTATTTTATGTCACTATCTAATGATAATTTGGAATGTGGTATCATCGGAAGCAATTTGAATGTCTAAAATGGGTTGCATTCATGTGCCCATTTCAAAAAAAAAATGGCTCATACAGTTTAAGAATCCAAGAGCCACTGGGTGCATCTTTTGAAGTACTTCAGAAAATTCCAAATCCCCTCTTTCTTTACCTGTGAAATCTCTTTCATGGACTGGAAACTTTGAGGAGCTCCTGCACATGTCCAAAAAAGTAATTTCTATATTTTGCACAGAATTTTGCCCTTCCTCTGGGAGTTCCAAGCAGGATATGAGATGCTACATCTTCTTTTTATCCCAATGAATATATCATGTAGGTGAGGCTGGATGGAAAGGCAGTGGCGAGACTAGAGTAACCCAGTGAATTCCATGGCTAAACAAATTTGAATCTGGGTCTTTTCCATCCTGGTCCAAGCACTGTCATTCTCCAGTTTTCAAATTCTTATAACATTTTATAATCAAACCAATTATTACATTACAGCTGAAGGCCCTGTTCTGCTACACCCATCCAGAGCACCAACATTAAAGTTATTTTCAATGTTTCACAAGCTAAAGTACCTTCACTAATATTTGAGCTCTTTAAATAGAAAACCTTTCAGAAGTATTGGCTAAGAACCATATTTGGCCTAGGCAATTATAATTTCTGTTGGCTTATATTAGCTAAATCAAATAGTAGAATTTAGACCTAAATTACATACAGTCTCACGTGCAATTTTATTCATGAGTGCATCCCAAATCTCCTTGATTCATAGCCAAAGCAGATGAATTGTTGATTTTTAGGTCCGGTGAAGCCTTCTGTACACACCTCTTGCTACAGAGCTGCCAGGCTAAACAAAACAAAAGCCCTACCATAGTGTTCCATTCTTTAAAATCTTTTAAAGTAGCTGAAGGAAGTGAATATATCTGAGATCTCCAGAGAGATATACATGCTCATTTGTTCCATCACAGCCAACAATTTTGTGGCTCATGAGGTTGAAAAGGTTCCTGTTTGGAGTACAACACTCTGGTGACTCCATTACAGATGTTATTCTAGAATGCATTTTTGTGAACTATGACCCACTTTGATTTCTGAATTAGTGTTCTGAGATACAAGTATACCATACCTGAGGGAAGGAGGAGAGTACAGAAGGAAGAGGCAGTGATAATTTCTTTACAGCTGTAATTCAGAGAAGATCTGAATTTCTTTGAGGGGTACTCTGGCCCTCTGAGGCCTTGAGAGGGAGCAATGTGACAGTCATATACTCATGTCCGAATGTATTCTGTCAGCCTAGCCACCAGGAACAGAAGAGAATTCCAGGGCTCAAGAGTCAAACTGCAAGGGAGGGATTGGGGAAAACAGCTGCTTGTGGCTGGCAGATGTAGTCTTCTGTGCCCAGCCACTACTGTGGAACTTTAGAAAAAGCGGTGTGGTGAATGAATTAGAACCAGACATCCTGAGGAGTGAGGTTGAATGGGCCTTAAGAAGCATTGCTAACAACAAGGCAGCAGGAGACGACGGGATCCCAGCTGAACTGTTTTAAATCTTAAAAGATGATGCTGTCAAGGTGATGCATGCCATTTGCCAGCAAATATGGAAAACACAAGAATGGCCATCAGACTGGAAAAAATCAACTTATATCCCCATACCAAAAAAGGGAAATGCGAAAGACTGCTCAAACTTCCGTACAGTGGCCCTTATTTCTCATGCCAGTAAGGTTATGCTCAAGATCCTGCAAGGAAGACTCCAGCAATACATGGAGCGAGAGTTGCCAGATGTTCAAGCTGGGTTTAGAAAAGGCAGAGGAACGAGAGACCAGATTGCCAATATCCGCTGGATAATGGAGAAAGGCAGGGAGTTTCAGAAAAACATCTACTTCTGCTTCATTGACTATTCTAAATCCTTTGACTGTGTGGATCATAATAAATTGTGGCAAGTTCTTAGTGGGATGGGCATCCCAAGCCACCTTGTCTCTCTCCTGAGGAATCTGTACAAGGACCAAGTAGCAACAGTCAGAACTGACCACGGAACAACAGACTGGTTCAAGATTGGGAAATGCGTACGGCAAGGCTGCATCCTCTCACCCAACCTTTTTAACTTGTATGCAGAACACATCATGCGATGTGCGGGGCTGGATGAATGCAAAGCTGGGGTGAAAATTGCTGGAAGAAACATTAACAACCTCAGATATGCAGATGACACCACTTGATGGCCGAAAGCGAGGAGGAGCTGAGGAGCCTTCTAATCAAGTGAAAGAAGAAAGCGCAAAAGCTGGGTTGCAGCTAAACGTCAAAAAAACCAAGATTATGGCAACAAGAATGATTGACAACTGGAAAATAGAGGGAGAAAATGTGGAGGCCGTGACAGACTTTGTATTTCTAGGTGCAAAGATTACTGCAGATGCAGACTGTGGCCAGGAAATCAGAAGACGCTTACTTCTTGGGAGGAGAGCAATGTCCAGTCTCGATAAAATAGTGAAGAGTAGAGACATCAGACTGGCAACAAAGATCCGCCTAGTCAAAGCCATGGTATTCCCTGTAGTCACCTACGGATGTGAGAGCTGGACCTGAGGGAAGGCTGAGCGAAGGAAGATCGATGCTTTTGAGCTGTGGTGTTGGAGGAAAGTTCTGAGAGTGCCTTGGACTGCGAGAAGATCCAACCAGTCCATCCTCCAGGAAATAAAGCCTGACTGCTCACTGGAGGGAAAGATACTAGAGACAAAGTTGAAGTACTTTGGCCACATCATGAGGAGACAGGAAAGCCTAGAGAAGACAATTATGCTGGGAAAGTGGAAGGCAAAAGGAAGAGGGGCCGACCAAGGGCAAGATGGATGGATGGCATCCTTGAAGTGACTGGACTGACCTTGAGGGAGCTGGGGGTGGTAACGGCTGACAGGGAGCTCTGGCGTGGGCTGGTCCATGAGGTCACGAAGAGTCGGAGACGACTGAACGAATGAACAAGCAAGCAAAGCATCCCAATGGAATTCAGACCAATATTAGTAGAAAGTGAGTGAAGTTGCTCTGGCCTGGATCTTTAAAATACTACAAAAAGAAATGGGTATTTGCCATCCCAACAGGGACAGGCTTGTTGCTTAAATAACAAGTAACATATAAAATTAGGCTGATACTTCAAGCACTATTTTTATTGTAGAAAACAGATATCAGGTTTTTATTGGGACATTCTGTATAGGTACCCATAAAGCAGAAGAATAATTAGCAATCTGTGCTTGACATTTAATGCATTTCTTTAGAGCAGGGCACATTTCTCTATTTCTTCCATAAATTTAAGGTTTATAGGACCATAATCTGAGTAGTACAGCAGTGAATCTGTAGTCAGCTCAGTGGAAGTTTGCTTGTTTACAGAATACAGTTCTTCCCTGAATTATCCACTTGCTGGAATAAGAGCTTTTATTACCACTGCTGGAATTTCTTATTCAGAACCCTGTAGTTCACAAGTGCATTAGTTCTTTGGTGAGAGGAACACTTGAGACATATGCTAGACAATTAGCCTAAAGCATTGTCTCACAGTCTAAACCCAAAGGGAAAGTAATATATCAGCTTCAGAGCTCAATGTCTCTACAAATAAACTTTTCCTCAGTCAATCAGCCTAATTCATCAGAGCAGGAAGAACTATGTGTTGCTGGAAAGGGCAGACACAGATTGAAAATTACTTATTGAGAGTTCACTGGTGTTCTTGGAAACAAAATAACAGATTGGTAAACTAGGAGAGACACATCATGGGTGAAAAACTTTCAGCATTTAAAAGAAACGTATACATTGATTTTGGTTAATATATCACATTTTATTTTATCATTTAGTCTTTGAGGTGTCCATCTGCTTTCTCAAACAATAGATCACATCCTTTGCTCATTCATCTTCCATCTGAAATACTGTAATATTTTTACTCCCAATATTAGCAAATGTACAGTTGTACACAAAAACATGCAGTGGTGTGCCTGCATTACTTGTCCAGTAGAATTACTCCCCAGGCTATAACTGGCACTTCAGTCCTGCCAAGTAATGGGGGCATCTGGGTATGGCTTGAAATCCTGTGTCAAAAGATAGACATCAAATAAAGGAAGCATGGATGTGGAAAGTGAAACAAAAGAGCCAGGGCAACACAGGAAACAGCTAAGTGAATGGCCTAGAAAGATTATTGGTGTGGACACTAATTCTCAGAACCAGGTGGGGTAAGGCATGGGAATTGTAGGGGTGGCAAAGATAAATCAGGAAAAAAATAAGGTTCTTTCAATGACATATTCTTAGACTGGGGAAAGGTTAAGCACAGGAACAAGGTTCATGGTCCAAAGGCACCAGGAAGATAGTGGGTTTGGGAAAAGGTTTCAAGGAAGAGAGTGAATGATATCAACCATGTGTTCTGGCAAATAGTTACAAGCTTATAGGGGAGCAAGAGAAAAGGAAATGTGAACGTTGCAGGGAGCAGAAGTTCTCTAGATGACTAAGAGTGATAGAGGTAGAGAAATGTCTACATCCATAGCTGGTATTTAGCATTTGGTTGTAAATAGTTATGTTAGCTTTAGCTCACTCAAATCACTGTGAGCCCAATTAAAGTTGATGCATGGGGCTGGAAGATGGTGATATACCTATTACTGTCTGTTGAGCTCATTGAGTTTTTAATTATGAGTGTCAAAGCATCAGATCTCCTCCTGATCTTAGACGCTAACCTGCATCAGCCCTATGCAATCATTGTATAGGGCACCACTAATGAGTACTAGGTACTGTAGGCTATATTTCAGAGAAAGAAACTAGTAAAACCACCTCTGAATATTCCTTGCCTAAGAAAACTCTGTGAAATTCACGAGGTCATCATAAATTTACAGGGGACTTGAAGACACACACACACCAAGCTGACCAATGCATCACAACAGCTTGCCTACACATATCAAGGCCTCCATATACCAGAGACCATTTGTGCTTCGTCTTTCAGTGAGGTGATGCATCAAGGTTGTTGTTGGAACTAGTCCAGGTCCTCAGCCTCTGCTGTTTTACAACGTGATGTGAAAGAGCAATCCTGTCTTGTCAGAATCACTTCACTCTGCTTTGTTCAATGAAAAGAAGAAGCAGGTGCTGAGCAAATTCTGCAAACATTTTTGCAAACAGCCCAGTAGAGAAATTAGCTCATTTCTCACTGTATTTCTTTCCTTTCAGTTGGAACTTCTGGACGCTGACACCACGCCACAGCTGTGACAGCCTCCCTTCCCCCTACTGTGTAGCAACCAAAGCCAGTGCTATTGAGTGGCAGCACTGTTGGTAGCAGAAAAATACAGGAGATGGATTGTTCCCCATCTCTTGCTCATCCCACCTCAAAGCAAATGTCTGCCTAAATATAAATAGCATAAGAATGGTTGCCTCAAAGGAAATTCCCATTGCACATTACAGGAACACAGGACTTCAAAGTAGATGAGAATTTACTTCCACCTTATAGTACACTAACTTATAGTCCCCAAGAATGTACCCATTGCAAACACAATAGTTCTGGGTTCATGCCAATTTTTCTTAAACAATGTCTTAACTATAATATGACAAAAATTCAACTCACTACTCCCTATCCTTTTAGAACCAAAAGGGAGAAAATGAAGACATGAGGGAAGATTACATGAAGGAGATTATTACTCAATCGTGCATCCTGTTATTGGTATTTAGGGGTTTACATAATCTAAGCATATGTCATGTAGGATTGTTAATCATACAAATGCTTATAGCATATCATTCTTTTATGGATGGGATGGTTTACAAGCCAGCCACAAATAGCAAGACAAATCAAAGCTACCTCTGAGATTTTTTAATGTATTAGATGAAATTGAAGTCCTCCATTTCACTGAAAACAAGATTTCACCCAAAGAGTCTCTATCCACATTCTCTCTTGACTTGAATATTGGAAGATCTGTCCCATATAAGTATTTTAGCTACAAAATTATGAAATGTTCATTTAAGGCAGCCAGAAGAAAGTAATGTGTAAACAAGAACAAGAAATGTATATATCTAAAACAGTGTTTCCCAACCTGTTGGCTGCAGTCCACTAGTGAACCATGAGACTGACAAAAAGAGCCATGGTTCTAGATTATCAAATATGTTTTTCTGTGGGTGAACAGATGGAGACTACTGGATGGCATATATTCTGTATCAGAAAATCGATATGATGTGATCTATCTAATGCTATTTTCTGAATCAGCACCCCAAATAACCAAACTGAATCTAAAGTTGACCAAAAGCTGATTCAAAGCTCTTTTGGTACTAATGTTGGAGAAAGGTCCCTGGTCAAAGTGGTCCCTGGTCAAAAAAAGGTTGGGAACCACTGATCTAAAACCAAGAAACAGTAAGTCATGTAAATACCATTGCTGATCTACACTGCTGCTATTTTGAAAGTGAAATACATAGTGATGTTCCATTTCTAAAGGCCTCATTTGTCCAACTTAACTTAATTCAGATAGCCTGGTGTGATTTTTAAATAACCTTTATGTTTAAATAATACAGTAGTTGGTGTGTATATACTGTTACACCTATTAAATAATCTCTGTGTGTTTGTCATGTTTATAATTACAAATGTAAAGTAGTTAAGCATTTATAAGCATAATTTAAAAATGCATTGCTTCTGCAGCAGGAAGTTACATATTTCTTCTAAACTGAGCATAGTTTGGTATACATACACCATGTAAGGTTTTCTGTCCCATTAACCATACTGTATTTCGGCTTTAGAACACCTAATGTAATTGACAGCTTTAAAAAGCCTGCCCTGTCAAAACAGTCTTGTCTCTCGCATAAGCAATGATAATAATCACATAGATAATTTGTCAATATATAATATTTTCTATTTGTTGTTGACTGTATGTTGTAATTAAATGGACAAAAAAATGACCCAGGAAGCAAAAAGCATGTAGATGAATGTGTTTGTTGTAAAGAAAATCATAGCCAATCCTTTCTCAGAAATTTCTACAACTGCATTTTCTTTGCTGCTTTTTTGCTCAATTATGTAAGCAGCATCTATTGTTAAAGATATCACGCCTCTGTAAAGAAATCCACTCCCTATCTTGAGTAAAAAGCTAATGTTCAATTATTTATGTAAGATCAATTTACATTAGCTCTTTGTATCTATGTGTACAGGGGTATGTAAAAATGTCTATGAAAAAGTGCCTTATTTCTCTCATGCATCATAATTTCCTTTTGAAATCGGGGGGGGGGGGGGGGGGGAGGTGGATTTGGTGGCAGTTTCAAACAATGATGAACTACTTTTATGTTAATGCAATCACTGCTTTATTAATTGGCTTGGGAGGGTTTTTTTCCTTTTCATAAAAGAACAGTTCATTGAACAAGCTACTATCAACTAAATCAGAGCCTCACCTGTGCAACAACTCCAGCTCTCATTTTGAAAATGTGATCCGAGTTACCATAAAATTTGGCTAAAATCAGTCTGAGAACAAAAACAGAAAACAATGGAAACAGGAAATCCAAGAATAAATGATAATGAGAAGAAAGAAGTGAGGGATGTGATCCTTAATAACATGCAGCCCAAGAGATTTTATGGATTCCAGTTTTCTTGACTCTGGGGGAGTTATCATGAGTTATTGAGAGACCCTACTATTCTATATTCTAACTATTCTATAGTATATTTTTCTCTTTTTTCTATGAATGCAGGTTCATAAATATGGAAGTAGGTCCTCGTTTCAGCATTGGAAGTGGGGGTTAAAGCTCTTGTTTTTTAAGAGAGTTGGTTAAAGTTACTGTGGCCCTAACTTGTTACTTCTTGCCTCCTTTGGAGCCAAATGCTCTTTTCCTTAAGAGGGTGGAATAAAACATAAAGTTTCAGCACCAGTCTTGCTTGGCTCCCTTATCCACAAAGCAAAGACAGGAATGGGATGAGGCCCTAACTGAGACTCCCCAGGGAGGATGCTCACCATCTGCCCTCCTCTTCCTGCTTGGCACATCACTTCCTGCCTTGCCTTGCTTTGCCTTCTTTCCTCCTGCCCTGCACTGTGCTTCCTTCTGGGAAAGGGGAGAAATCTGTGGTCACTAGTCTTTGTCTATGTGTTTAATTAATATGGCCTCGGTTTTTTTTTGTTTTTGAGTGGCGCTTCCAAAAATGGGTGTCTTTTCAAATAGGCATTTTTGTTCCGCATCCAAAAGAATGAAAATTTGGTGGCAATGGAAGGGCTTTCCAGGAACCAAATAGATAGAGAAGGAGAGGGAGAGAGAGGTTTTGCCAAGGTTTTTCTAAGGACCCACAGGAGGGACGAGGTCTGTGTAGTGTGGTATCAGAAGTTTGACCAAGCATGATCAAACTTCTTTGAAGGTGACACTATGACATCTTTTCCCAACCCTTTGGCTGTTTTTCTTTAATAGTATTACCGATGTGATTTAACTATTCCTAGAAATGCAGTGATTTAGAGGGCAGAACAAGGCAAGCCAGGTGCAGAGATAGGGAGAGATTGAAGGTTTGATAGAGAGATATTAGTTTTCAAATATGGAGAAATTATTCTACTGAAAATCAACAATTACTTTCCTTTGAAAAATAATTATTTGTTAAAAAAACTTAAGGAGGCACACTACCCACAGAGAGAAATATATCAGAAGTAGAAGCAAGGAATGCAAATATAGTACTAGAGGGGGAGGTAAAGAAACTGGTTTTGGAGGGTTTTCCTTTTGGTTGAATTGCTATTACAGTAATATAATTATAATTAATATCTTTCACAAGCCTTCTTTGAGATAGGAGAGGAAGGGAGGAGAAAACACAATTAGGTGTCCCTGACTAAGGCTCTGTGAGCCACCCAAAGATTTTAAAAATAAAGGAAAAAGAATCTGAGTAGCGAGCAAAGAGATGCCCATCTCTCCAAAGCCCTGCGCGCTGGTGGCAAGGGGTGACACCCAGCGCAACCCATCCCTACCCATTCAAAACTCCCAGTCTCTTTAAATAAAAATAAAAAGAATGAAATAAAAATAAAGAAATCAAAAAGATGCCAGAAGCCAAGCACAAGCAGCCAAGCTAAGGCAAAATCAATAGCTACCTGGCAACAAGGCAAACAGGCACAGGAGCGAGCTCTAGGACCGACAAACACATGCCATGCAATGAGCACTTTGGGGATGATCACCCTAATACTCTGAACAATGCATGCTCATATCAATACGTGATTGGGGTCAGAGGTAAAGCAACGTGGAAATACTCCCTGGGCTGTGCCACGTGGACAGAAAAGCAGGCGACAACATGGTTACCATTGTTACTTTCCTTTCTGTTTCACTATTATTTTTGTACCATGAGGGGTTGAACTGTTTCATGCCATCTGAATGAAACAAACAGAATGAAAACACGAAATAAATCAATGAAATGGTAACCGGGCCCATGACTAGTGATTACCTCTGCTGCTGCCACCTCTTGCTGCTTTCCCCACTTGGCCAGCATCCCTGCCAGATCTGAAAGTGGCCAATGGCAACAGTACATCACTCCCTCAATGGCAACTGCACACAGGACTCTGGGTGAGGAGAGGTGGTTCTTCAGACAGACAATAAACACCTGTCTGGCCATGTGTAGTCCTCCTTTGACAGTGTCACTCAGTGTAGTCCACATGCATACACATCCTAATAACAACCCGGCATAATGCTGTTGCCTTTTTTAATAAACTTTTTCCTGAAGTGTGAATGCTAAAATGGTATGTTATTGCTAATGTTGTGTTCAAAGAAATGACACAGCTGAATTCAGTGGGGCCTCTCGTTCAGTGGGGCCTCTCTTTCTCTGTTTAGCTTCCAAGATCAGACAGAAGGCATCTGATTCTGTCTGATCTTGGAAGCTAAACAGAGAAGGTCTTGGTGAGTACTTGGATGCTGCAAATTATATTTCTGAAAAAAGAACTGGCAAGGCTGCCTCTGAGTATTCCTTGCCTAAGAAAACCTTCTGAAATTCATGGGGGTCACCGTAAGTCGCCAGTCAACTTGAAGGCACACGTTGCCATCTGCTTTCAAGTAATTTCTGACTACTAGAAACCCTATCACAAGGTTTTATTGGCAAGATTTCTTGGGAGACCAAGTTGCCATTGGCTCTCTCCAAGGTGTAGAGAGTGTGACTTGCCCAAGGTCATCCAGTCGGTTTCCACTGAGCAGAAATTTAAATCTTGTTCTCCAGACTTATAGTCAAATGCTAAAATCACTACAGCACACTAGCTCTCTGAAGACACATATACACACACATGCCTAGCATCACCAAATCCTTCAAAGCTGCAGGTATGTGTGAAGAGATTCTGTGAGCTAGATCTCTTTATCCTGACATCAAACAGATAAACGCTTGCAATTCCACACCACACTACCCTACTTACCTTAATTTGACTTCTGCATTTCCCCACTGACCCCCTTTGAAACTGAGAGGTCCTTTGGGCGGGGCCACAATGTTGGGAGATTGATTTGATTAATTTCTACCATTCTTGGTGTTTTAAACAAACCAAAACAACCAAATAGTGTTTCTGCTTTGGCAGACTCTTTTCTGTCAATTCCCAGCAGCAGCTGCCATTCTTTACCCACTCCCACAAGTGGTTTTCTATTTAATTCAATGACAAATTGGAACAATATGTTCCCTTCTCTTCATCTCATTTTTGTTTTTCTTTCAGAGTGTGAGTACTATAATGCATCAGTGAAATTGAGACAAGAGAAAATTTCTCCTTGAAACCACTACAGGATCACCTCAGCAAACTGTCTCAATTAAAAGAAAACCCAGGAAATCATTATAACTTGTGTGTGCATGTGTTTTGAGATCATTTATCAGCCTATAGCCTATAGCAACTCCATGAATTTCATAGCGTTTCTTTTTTAGGTAAGTAATATTCAAAGGTGGTCTTGCCAATTCTTTTTTATGAAAAATAACATAAAACACCTGCTATTTATTGGTGTCTTCCACCCAAAACTGATCCTACTTAATTTTCAAAATTAGATAGAATCTGATATCTTCATGGGATTTAGATTCTCAGTACAACTGGCCAGGGAGCGAAATGAGTAATTGAAGAAGTGATAACTAACTACTGGCAAAACCTAAGTACCTGTATTGTGGGAACTCATGCTTCTTCAGAACAAAATGGTAGCATCTTAGTTAGTGTATACTGTGGAAGATGATCCTTCGGTCTAGAGTAAAACCATTGTTGGAATCTATTACATCATACCCATCAAGACTATACAGATGGAAACCAGTACATGTGTGCAATCAAGCAACACTAGAGTGTGGTCTAGATGGCAAAAGGTATTCATGAGGAAGAAAACACAATTTAAGAGGAGCTGCAGCAGTTAGCTTTTGCCTGAGTTTCCTCTCCCATTTGCTGAGTTAACTCAATAGTTTTGCACTTTGAACTCAGCCTGCAACCTAGGTAAGCTAGGACAAAGGGGAGAAATGGGAGCAAAACAGTTAAAAGAAGCAACCGAAAAGTAGGTGACTGAAGGTTAATAGAGATTCTTTTAAAAAAAATCAAACAGGGAAAAGGACATAAAGATCCAGAAAATACAGAGGAATGACACATGGGACATACCAATACTTATCATGATCACATGCATGTATTGACTTTTTAAAGAAATTATCTTCAGGTAAGAACAACATACTTTGGAATATTGTGCAATATTGTGGAAAAGAAGCTAAATGATATTGATCTATAATTTTTTTTACAAATATCAAGAAGTAAAACATAAATGCCAAACCTCTGCAGGAACACTGGGTCAAGAAAAATAATGTTTGGAACAAAACTGAGAAAATGGTATGCTATCAAAGAAAGAAATAAGTTATTAAAACTTCAGAGGTCAACTGACTACAGAACAGTCCAGATGAGTCTCACAAAATGAGTCCCAAACCAAGATATTTATATGCATATATGACCTCCCTTTAACATCTATTTTGAAGGGTAGGTTCACGTTTTATTTAGCAGATGAAAGGTGGTGTATGGATATGTTGAACACACAGTGGCGTACTTACACAAAAGTGCCATAATTGGTAATAGTGTTGTCAAGCCATGGCACACACACACATACCAAAAAATATATAGTTCATCAATAGACTTCAAGCAAATAATATGATCATTTTCTTTTTTTATATTAAAACATTTCCCGCAGACCCAAAGTTGTGAAGTGCTGAAGTGCTAGAGGTTCTGGAAAGGACCTAGCAGGAGCTATATATGGATATTTGCCATAGATGCAGGTGAAGCGTTAGGAGAGAATGCCTCTAGA